CGGTGGCTGGACCGTAGTCCGCTCCACACTGAGTGCATGGAACCCCTCTTCGAGCCTAACACGGCCACAAGGACCGTGCACCCCGTCCCCTCCAGCAACAACCAACTGTCTCCTGGAGCCAGATGGACGAAGTAGTGGCACCTTGTCAACATGCACATCAAGCGCAGCCACACCGGGGATATCAAACAACAGCCAATCATTCGAAATGCCGATATCGAATAAAGTAAACGCATATGATGACATAAATACTCGCCAAATGAGCATATGGAAGAAATTGGTTAAAGGTGAATACACGATAAGCACAAAATGTCCGAATGTTATTTTTTTAAAATACCATGTGATAAAATTACGCAATTTTACCACAATTTGCATGAGCGACGTGTGTAAGTTGGGAGAAGATTATCAAGTACGCAGAACAAAAAAATAGAATGTAATGAATTTCATCCACATTAAAAAGACCATTGTCAGCTCTACCCACGGACGTCGCGGATTTTTGGATCAACGTGTGCTGGATACTACTTTTGCCTCAGATTACTGTGTTAGCAGCGTTTTATCTGTGTGAATTGTGCACCAATATTCTTCTTTTGGCGTATTTTCCAAGCGGTGCAAATTTGGCGGCTATTCTTTGGCTAATTCCGGAGATCTCATTGATTTGCCATACTGCCATCTCTGTCCGCCATCTTGGATTTGCTCTAGCTTGTGATGCCGTCTCAAGCTACTTGTGGTTCGTGTTCGAAAGTTGTGGGAAATAAGGCTCATGCACTTCGATGCTTCGGCTGTGATGTTTTGTTCCACATTTCGTGCATTGGCTTATCCGTTGACGTGTTTCGAAAATCGCTCGACATCCGACATCGGTTTTTTCAAGTTATATGTGATAAATGTCGCGATACAAGACATCAGAATACGCAGCGACCGCAAACAACTACGGGAAAATCTCTTTTTCAGATAGAAACAAACCGTTCACCACGTGGGATCAAACGCCCTCGTGAAAGTACCTCTGTCTCCTCGCCTTCTGTTGTCACTCCGCGAGCTGCACCACCACCAGCGTCTTCGACCCCGACCGAACCCCAGGTTCAATGTTTCCCACCGATGGAAGACTCAGACTCGGAAGCTACGAAATGCCGCTTCACTGATCGGTCCGTGAATTTCTCAGAGCCTGTCTGTGAAATTCTGAACACCGAGGATCCATGGATCACTCAAAAGCGCAAGGGCCCACGTAATCGAGTTCAGACGTCACCTGCTGATAAACAACAACCCAATCAGTTAAGCGCCTCTAGTTCTGCTCCCACAGGTTCATCACTGATTTCGCTGAGGCGTCATAATCTCATGGTCTTCCACGTACCGGAGTCAAAAGATGAAAGCCCTCAGATACGTTATGATCACGATGTTGAGTTCCTCCAGGGGCTCATCGATAGACTCTTGGATGTGGGCGAGGACAGTGTGACGATTAAACAAGTAATCCGACTTGGCCAGAAAACTAACCAATCATGTCGACCTCTGAGGATCACCTTTGCAAATCCCAATATGCCGCAGCTCATACTGTCTCGTCTGTCAAGGCTGAAAGGCATAAAAGTTCACATCCGCCGAGACTTGGAACCCGAAGACAGGGATCGTTTGAAGTCTGCGGTCATTGAGCTCAAACGCCGTACAGAGGAAGGTGAGACTGACTTACAAATTGTAAATTTTCGGGTGATCAAGAAGGGTGTACGAACCCGTATCAACCGGTTGCTCAACCTCCAGGCACGTCCCGCAGTACCTCCCAGGACCTCCGTGTGGCATTCGCCAACGTGTGCAGCCTAATGAACAAACGTGACGAATTGTGCCGTTTCGCTGTCTCGGAGCGGCCGGACATTTTAGGACTTGCAGAGACATGGCTGAACTCCGACGTCATACCCCAAGAAGTCGTGTTGTCAGGATACTCTTGTTTCCGATGCGACCGAAAATCAAAGGCTCACGGTGGTGTTCTGTTGTACATAAAATCGTCACTAGCTGGCAAACTTATCAGTACCTATCGGAGCGAGGATAGTTTATGCGAGCAATTGTGGTGCACAATCCGCCTCAGGCGCGCAGAACTAATAGTGGGGGTTATCTATCGGAGCCCATTAAACCGTTGCTGCGATTGGATACCACATGTACAGAAGCACATGAGCCGCCCTCAGTTCTTACTGATGGGGGATCTAAATTTACCTAAGATAATTTGGCCAGATGTTCGACTTCTTCCCGGTCATGGCAACGTTGAGGCTCAATTCGCTAAAATGACTATTGAAAGCGGGGCAACGCAACATGTCATCCAACCGACGCGCGTAACTCCGTACTCGGCATCTTGTCTGGACCTAATGTTTACGAGCTGCGAGCAGAAGCTAAAAGAGATCAGAGTCATCGAACCTCTGGCGAACAGTGACCACTGCTCTATTGTAGCAAGCTTAGAACTGTCGTTACCATATTACAATCAACAGAAGCCGACATTCAACTATTGGAAGACGGACTTCAACGGACTCGTCCAAGCCGCAAGTCAGACTGATTGGACACTACCACAGGATGCGTCACTTGAGGCCTGGTGGTCATTAATAAAGGGGAAGCTTAACTCGCTCTGTACTCGGTTCGTTCCCCTTAAGTATTCAAAAATTGGACCTGTCAAACCGCATTGGTTTGATAGGGAATATAGACAGTTAGCGCGACGACGTCGCAAACTTTGGGATAGATACATCAGCTCGGGTTGTGATGAAGATTACACGGTGTACAAGAAACAGCGTAACTTATGTAACGCCGCAAAGATCAAGAAACGCCGGCAGTTCGAAGAGGAGCTAGCATCCTCGGCCACAACTGCACCCAAAAGAATATTTGCCTACTTGAAACGTCAACTGAAACCTGGGGACGACCTACCGGTCTTAGAAAGCTTAGACGGGAAGACACTCATTTCAAGCGCGGAGCGCGCGGACGCCTTGGCTACGCACTTCCTCACTGTATTTTCCAGTAAACCGGCGGCGGTTTCAGTACCGGCACAGGTTGCGCAAGTCTTGCTCGACAGCCTACAATGTGATGCAGTCGAAGTACATCAGCTACTCGTCAACCTCGATGGTGCAAAGCCCCCCGGACCAGACGGACTTCACCCACTAATACTCAAGTCCCTATCGATTATCATCTCACCAGCTGTGACAAACCTTTTCAATAAATCGCTCTCTGAAGGATCCGTCCCGAACGACTGGAAATGCTCGATAGTGAAACCGCTTCCCAAGGGTGGTGATCCGAGTAAAATAGAGAACTATAGACCGATCTGTTTGACTTCGGTATTATCCAAAGTTCTCGAGAAGGTTGTGAAAAAGTGTCTGCTGTCGTTCTTCGAATCGATGGACGTATTGACGCCAGCGCAACACGGCTTTACGAAAGGGCGATCCTGCATCACCAACTTGATGTACGCAAACCACCAGTGGGTTCGAGCTCTCAATGAACAGAAGGATGTTGACGTGGTCTACATCGACTTTAGTAAGGCGTTTGACAGAGTGAACCACGAGGTACTCCTTCGTAAACTGAGGACATACGGAATCGGTGGCACGTTACTTCAGTGGTTACACGAGTTTATTGTGGGACGAAGGTTTAGAGTACAGGTCAATGACTATCTGACAGACTGGTTCCCATCGACCAGTGGCGTGCCTCAAGGAACTGTACTTGGGCCAGTATTATTTCTTATTCATATCAACGATCTTCCGCAGCAGCTCCAGTCACCATGTGCCCTGTTTGCAGATGATTTGAAAATCTGGAGGATCATTGAGAACCAGGACGACTGCGCTCGCCTCCAGCATGACTTAGAGCGACTGTCAACGTGGTCCACTGAAACGCAACTCCCTCTTAACGCAAGCAAGTCGGAGTTCATCAGTATCACCAGACGTCCAGCCACTCGATCATACACCTTGGACGGCCAGTTGCTCCATCCCAACACATCTGTCAGAGACTTAGGAGTTCTCTCACGACATGATTTGAGATCACTAGAAAATACAGAGAAATTGTACCGTGCGGGACTTCGTATGCTCTGGGCATTAAGACGCAGTTTCTCCACATGGTCCGAAGAAACCGTCCCTCGTCTATTCACCTCGCTCATTAGACCAATCCTTGAATACGGTGCCCCAGCTTACCATCCGATAACCCAATGGGAAACTGAAAAGCTGGAGAAAATACAGCATATCGCAACTAGAATGATACCGAGTCTACGAAAGCTTCCGTATGAAAAACGTTGTGAAAGGCTCGGACTCTACACACTATCCTATCGCCGAGTAAGAATTGACCTTATTATGACCCATCGGGTACTACACTTCCCCATACTGCGGCCAATATTTCACCTGCGGGAACCCTGTAACACCCGAGGACATCGTTACAAACTCAGGGTCCCCAGCATGAACAAAGTATCACATCAGCTTTGTATCGAAAGAAGAATCGTAAACTTATGGAATACACTACCTGAAGGATTAATAGAGGCCGATTCTGTGAAGTGTTTTAAAACCCGTATCGACGATTATTTTGGAAACCTGTGCTTTTGTGAGACGATGCACATACAGTGCCAAAAGAAGACATTGTATGCCCGGAAATAATGACATTATACAAATTTCTAACCGAACAAGGATAAACGATTAACGGAACAGACACAACTGCTGATAATTCAAAAGTAAATTTTGATTTTTCGTAATTCGATAGAGTTGTACAGAAACCTTTCTACTTGCTCTTAAATACAGTATCAGTATCAGTAATTTAAGTGTAAGTTGGTTTAGCCCAACTGCGGAGAAGAAGCATCATGGATGCGACATCAGCCTCAGCATGGGGCACTGTTGCATATATATATATATATATATATATATATTTGACAAGAAAAAAATCATGGCTCAAACGCCAGAAAGACGAATGGTAAGCAAACCGTCCCATGAGGATCTATCACGAAGATGTGTCGTACATCCAGCAGTAAGTATGAATCGAAAAACCTAATAAACAAAAGACATGGAAGGTAAACTCACCGAGAACGCCAATCTTCAGGTTCAAATTTTGCCGCCTAGACAGCAAACGTAAATATTGTAGCCGTTTCCAGATTTTCAGTTCAGCGCTCTCACGAATAGAACAAGTCACCAAAAGAACAGTGCCGCACTAGATTATACAATTCTCAGTTGACAAAAAACGGCGAACAAAGTCGGTGGTACCTCTTGAATGGAAGTAGCTTGTTGGAACCCGGCAGTAGCCAGTAAAGATTTGGCTACCTCTGTGTCACTGTGGTTCATTTGACATCCATAGGTTTCAAAATACACTGAGCAAAAAGTAGTATTTTGGGGGGTATACAAATAAGATGTACCTCGATAACGTCTTAGCGAAGCAGTTCCGCGACTTGGAGGAACAACAAGGATGTTGATAGCGCGGCTGGATGCTGCGAATGACCGAAGTACTGAGGACAGACCAAAAAGAGTCGGATGCGCGGGCATCTAAGTGGAAGTGCAATAATGCGATAAAGAACATGGCGAGGAAGCTAGAACATCGTAATGGTAACCATCATCATCAGTAGTATACACGTCTGCTAGAGGTGAGAAACATCTCAGCTACTGTGCCGCAATACATAAAGGAAAAGAAATACAGTAGTTGCATGCCAGCTGAGCTACCAGCAACGGATGGACATCGTTCCGGTAAGCCACCAGCCGGCTACTAGGTAAAAAGAAAAATTATTATTTTACGCCACGAAATGAGATCGTAGATGGATAGGGAGGCTAAAAGGGATGGGAGGAACAAAGAAACTCACAGCACGAACACCACTGAGGTCGGCTCCTTGCCATGTCAGCAAGTGTATCCAGCCAAACGTGTTCATCGTCTTTCGGACCCCAACCAGAGAGCCGTGAAGCTCCAACCGAGGCCAGCTCCGAAGTGAGGCCCTTCATTCCTCTGGACCAAGTCATGGCTTGGCCACCCCTCTTCTTCCATCCACATCCCCGGTGAGCAAACAACACACGTCGTGGGAGTCGGTGGGCTGGCATGCGTAACATGTGGCCGAGCCATTGGAGCCTGGTGCGTGAAATAACGGTGCTGAGCGGTTCAGATCCTTTTCCTGTGTCGTAAACAAGGCGTCGAATACGCTCGTTACTCACGCGGTGTTCTCATCAGATGTGAACCAAACTGCCAAGGTACCGATGGTCGAACGTAACTAGCCTCTTCATGTCCGCCGATCTTAGGGGCCAGGTTTCGCAACCGTACAGTAGGGTCGAACGTACCGCTGCGTCGTACACTCTACCATTCAGGGCGAGAGTAATGTCGCGCCGCCGCCATAGTTGGCAAAGGTAATGGTAAAAATGATTGCAAATATGAACCAGACTATTGTCTAGAATCTGCAAAGCCAAATTACGAGTAAATAACGCTGGTCAAAAGGACAGAACCCAGATGACATCAAATGATACGGTAGGCTATTACGATATACAATGCTTTAGCAAAGTAGTGATCAATTTTAGGTGAAGCGTATTGCCTTGAAGCAGACGTGCTATGATTAAAAAAACACCGGATTCAAAAATAACTAGACAGCGTTAGGAAACAGTAAAAGTTAGTGCCTGCACGCAAAAGTGTTCACCAGCACCCAGGCGATAAACTGAGATAAAGGAAAATATCACGTGTCGCGCCATCGAAAGCTGAAGAAAACAAAGCCCGTAGGCATCGTGAAAATGTGTAATTAGACGGAGCTAGTAATAACTGGAAGAAATAGGTCAGGAAGTTACTATAATGGCCGACGAGAGAAGAGGCATCAGAAGTATACTGATATTTTATGTTAACGATTCTTGGCCCCACTACCACCCCGCATGAGTCGTGTGCGGACTAGGGATACCGCGAAGTTGCGAAATATACTTATATACGTATGTAAGTTGTCCGCATCTACATACGCTCTAACAAACGACGTTTGGATTAAAAACCAGGAGTCTGAATCGCTCGGTCAAAGGCCGGTAATAACAAGACACATCCAGCGGATCTGATACAGTCTCGCTGGGACACGTTGATATGTGTACTCTCGCCTTACGCTGGGCTAAGCCCAGTTCGATTGGCTTATTATGAGTCATGCGCCAAAGCGTACTGGAACCGTTGTGTCGGGTCACCTCGCAGTGGATAGCCACAGGAGCTAGCTTGCCGAACTACTTCCTCGTGGTGCCCACTGGGTGGTTCGGGATCTACCTGTTCCATCAAAATGTTCAGGTGCAGTGTTATAGGACGTGGCAGTTTTCGCCTGGCAAGCGTTCTCCGTATAAAAGCCACACGTCCGTTTAACAACATTGTGATGTGGCGCATGTGACTTGCCACTAAATAAAGGCATTGCTACTATCTTCGACCCGATGGACCATCGCAGTTTCAAATGGACGCTGAATCACTAGGGGGTGTTGGGACCGTTCGGTAACCCGCCGAACGAAAGGCGTATAAACCGAGCAATCGGTGACTGGCTCCCAATGGGTGCGATTACCTAAATTTGCCCGCTGTCTTGCAGGTCAGACATTAATGACCGAACGCTTAGGGTGGCGCCCCCTATGTCAACCCACTTCCTCGGGCTGGGCAACCAGGAAACTGTATGCTCACACAACACATGAAATGAGGGATTTACAAGTCTATGCTCTAGGTCCTCGCTCTCTAGACTCTCCGACTGAAGTGTTGGATGCCGGGCAAGCTAAACGTCACTCTACCGCACCGCAAACTACCTTCCTCGTTCCACATGTATTCAACGCGTTTTTATAGCATGTGGTAGTCTAAGCTTTGCGATTATTGGGTCTCTCTCTGCAAATTCACGACTAAGTTGCTAGATTTTAGTAACCCAACTACCTGCAAAATACGCCGGACTCATGGAGCCTTTTCCACAGAGCAATGCGTCGTTTCAGCGCTCAATTAGCTTTAAAATAAATAATATATTCTCGAGAACACAAGAGACGCACCAGGGAAGGCATCATCAGCTTTGTACAATCACATATGTCGATAAAAGTTGATAGCAAAATATTCTTGTTAAAACGATCGCGAAGTTTCAGAAGGTTCCAGGGTGTAATGGGGTTGACTTTGGCAATGTTTCGAGATTACAATACGTGTTTTGCTCGTACTGCCTCGCCATAGGAATACGTAGCGGTTGGGATTTTACGACCGCAACGTGTCACTACGCGCAAAAGCTAATTTAGGTGACAGTTCTTATTACATTGGTTTTAGTCATTCAAGTTGTGCTGTCATCGAAAGGGGTTCGTGGCGTCTCTTTCTATGAATATCACGCCTGGAAGCAATTTGCTAATTTTGAGAACACTAATTCCTAGCGTTCCGGCAGGCTCGCGTTCAAGGTCTACGATTTCTTTAGATGACACTAAAGCTCTACTTTGCAATAAGCAAATGGTTGATAACGAATGGAAAAGTGAACACCAAAAAAATCACTAACAATGTCCACGACGAGGCGCCGCAGCCTCATGATCTTTCAGGCACCTGCATCATGTTATTTCTACCCTCAGGTAAGCTACGAACATGATGGCGAGCTTTTGCAAACTCTGATTGATAGACTGCTTGACTTGGATGAAAGCGGGCTCAAAGTGAAACAGATCGCTCGTTTCGGAGAGAAAACCGAGGGCAAAAGTCGACCTATGAGGGTGACTTTTGTCGAAGAGGTAAGTCGTAAGTGAAATTTGCCCTGCATTAATAGGCTGAAAGGTTAAAGATCCACTTGCGCGCTGACTTAGACCCAGAAGACAGAGTGAAACTCAAGTCAGCAATGATTGAACACAAGCGATGCACGGACAATGGAGAAACAAATCCCCGTATTGTAAATTTCTGGTAGTTATCCGGATTCCTCCGCGAATCCGGATCAACAGGTTTCTGATGCTTCAGGCGCGCCCAGCAGTTCTTACCGCGGCCTGCGCGTAGCGTTTACTAACGTCTGCAGGCTGATGAACAACCGTGATGATCTGTACTACTTTGTAACCTCTCAGCGACCAGACGTATTAGTCTTTGCTGTTACGTGGTTAAACGCCGACGTAACCGTCCAACAAGTAGAAAGTAGCGGCTGCTCATGCTTCCGCTGGGATGGACCATCAAACGATCTTTGTGTGGGAGACTAGTGAGCGCCTACCGAAGCGCTGATGGTCTAAGTGAGCAGTTATGGTATTCGATCCACCTCAGACGCCGCGAGATGCTCGTAGGCGTGGTATATCGCAGTCCACTGGGTCGTTGCTCGCATTGATTGCCGCATGCCAGCAATTACATAAGTTGTCAGCTGTTCCTACTCATAGGCGATTTCAACCTACCCGAATACAGTGGCCTGAGGCTGAACTTCTCCCCGGTAATTATAAAGTCGAGAGAAAGTTTACGGAGTCGATATTTCCTATCAGGGTTACACGGCACATCAACCAAGCGACGTGTATAACTGCGCGCGCGATACCATCGTGCTTAGACCCGCTTTTGACCAGCTGTGAGCTACGTATGCATGACGCTCAAGTCTTAGAGCCTCTGAGAGCGAGTGACCACTCGATGATCATAGCCAGCTTGGAACTGCCGCTGCCGTATTCTTCACCTCTGGAGCTAGCCTTCAACTACTGGAAGGCGGACTTTAATGGCCTCACTCGAGCAGCAAGCCAGATGCGCTGGTCTTTATTAAAGGATTCGTCTATTGAACTTTATTGGACTATCATTAAAGAGGGTGTGAAAAACTTGTGCACTCGTTTTGTATCCCTCAATTATCGGAAAGTTGGACCAGTCAAACCACATTGGTTCGACAAGAAGTACAGCAAACTGGCCCGACGACAATGCGGACTATGGAACAAATTCGCGTTACCAGATTCTTATGAGGACTACAAGGCGTACGCGGTACAGCGAAATTTCTGTAACAACGCGAAACCATAAAAGCACAGAAGCTTCAGAGAGCAGCTTGCAACCGCCGTAAAAACTGCTCCCAAGAGGATGTTCGCCTATGTGCAGCGGCGCCTGAGACCTGCAGGCAAGATTCCAGTGTTGGAAGGCTCAGCTAGACAGCCTCTAACCTCGAGCACAGATTGTGCTTCCGCATTGGCGGCACACTTTGCCTCCGTATTTTTAGGTGACCAGATGTCTGTAGCGCGTTCGACGAATACCGCCCCGGCTGAACTAGGTAGCCTGGACTGCAGCATTGCAGATATACGCAAGCTTCTGGCAAGCCTTGACGGGACGAAGCCTTCCCGGCCAGATGGAATCCACCCACTGGTGCTCAAGTCCCTATCGGTCATCATAATCATCATCATCAACAGAAATACATCAGCCATTTGAACTGATGGTTCGCTGCCATACAACCATGAGGACCTATGAAATAAAGATCCCGCAACGGAACCCTCCATGATAGAATCTATGACGAAACTGAACAAAAATGGGGAAATCGGACAACCCTGACGAACGCCAAATGTGATCGGAAAGCTATCCGATAGGACACCGTAGACTCTGACGCGGCTTGTAGTGTTCGAGTATAGAGC